TATTTCCGCCTGCGTTGGGCTCCGATTCCTTCGTCATCTACCATGACCAACGATCCAACGACCCAACGACCAGCAGACCTTTCCCAGAGGTGGATCTCCTACTTTCTTCATCGGGTTTCCACTGACTAAATGGCGTCTACTCATCCTTCTCTCTTCCTTCTCCCTCGTTTTCTTTTCTTTTTTTTCGTTGTTTTGCTACTTTTTCCCATAGACAGACCAATAACTTCAAAGGGTTTCCCGCCACCTACCGGGTGGGTTGGGCACTTATTCCGCTCGAGGCGAGAACTTGAGCAGGCATCCGTCCTTGGGGAAGATGCTGTGGAGGGGGTTAGCGTGATCGAAGTAAGAATTTCGGGGAGGAGGGAACTCACGTAGCAATCATTTGCACCTCCTCACTGTCCTTTGTCGTCAAATGTTCCCAATCCATCAACACGGCCGCATTCCCCATCACACACGCCATATTGATATTCGTGTACTCCACCCCAATACACCGATGGGGGCCCGCGCCAAAGACCATGTAGTGCTTCGGGTTCGTGTTCGCCGCGCTGTTGGGGTCCAACCAGCGCTCGGGCAAGAACAGATGCGGGTCCTCGTAGACGCTTGGGTCGTGCAGCGAGGGATACAACGAAGGGATGACCATGCTGTTGGCGGGGACAGTGTACGAAGACGAGATCGGGAATGCCTTTGTCGTCTTATACGGGACCTAATACGCGAAGAGAAAACGTCAATGGAACAATCTCTCCCTCTCTCTCCCTTCTCTCGAGAAGGAAACAAGTGGGTCTGGGACCGGGGGAAGCAACACGTACCATGGTGACCGGTGGCTTCAATCTCAAGCTCTCCTTGATGACCGCCTTCAAGTACGGCATATCATCGATATTCTCCAACGTGAGCGGCTTCGAATAATCATCACCTCGAACAGCCTTCTGCTCCTCTCGAACCTTTTTCAAAATCTCCGGATGGTCCGCCAAATGCTGAAACGCATAGATGACTCCGGAACTCATCGCGTCCTGGCTCGCAAAGAGGAAACTCAAAATAACCAGCCCCATCTCATGGTCCGTAAACTCTCTGGGCATCTTTCCACCATCCATCGTCGCCTTTTCCTTTGCGTCTTGCGTGTCTTTGACCCACTGATCGAGCATGCACCGGACCTCGCCCCCATTCGCAATGTATTCTTTGCAGCGTCGGGCCGCCTCCTCGAGATGCTTCAACGCAATCTTTCTCGACTGAATCGCACCCCAAATCTTCGTACCAGGCAACGCCAGCGGGAAATTGACCAACTCGAGCGCGACGGTGATCTTCCAATAGTTGTCGCTGATGATCACAATCGCCTCCTCGGGGATGTGTTCGCCGCAAAAGACGCGGAGCGAGGTGTGCATGTTCAGGTAACGCACGGTGTGCATGATGCTCTGTGGTTCGTTTTTGGACTCGCGCGCGGTTTGCAGCCAGAGGGCAAAGTGGTGGCGGGTGATGGCATCTTGGACTCCGAGATAGACGGCGAGCGCTTTGCGGGTGAAGAGCGAGTTTAAAGTTCGGCGGTAGTCGACGTGCTCTTTGCCGTTGAGGAACACCCTGCAAGGCCAAAAGAAAAAAGAAAGAAAAGAAGGGGGAGGGTGTGAGTAATGATTCGAAAAGGGGGCATTTGGGGTCTGTTAGTGTGTACAGATACTTACCAGTTTTCGGGGCAGAGGACCTGTTTAGCCGAGTAGACCAGGCAGGGCTCGGCATAGGCGGGTGAGTTGAGAATCTTGCGGGTGGCTTCGTTTGTAGAGGCTATGACGATAAAGCTAGAAATTGCAACACAGTTAGATTCACAAATACAAAAAGGATGATAACCACACGGATCGTCTAAGCCAAAGGGACGGAAATACAAAAGAAAAGGGGACACTTACATGTTAAACACACTGAGGGCGGAGAGTTCGCCACTGGCCCATTGGCGCTTATAGCCCTCGAGGGTCGGGTTGACGGAATCTGCAAATTTCCCGATGATGGGGATCGTCCATCTGGATCCGGGGAGCGCACCCTTTTTGACCCGGTACACGGTCTGCTCGAGGATGAGGAGGGAGAGGACGAGGACGGCGAGGGAACCGAGGATCAACGAGGGTTTGTCGCTTAGTAATTTGTTGCTCAGGTGTTCTGCAGAAAAAAAGATTTGGCTGGGGAGTGAGCTCGGGTGAACGATGGAAGACGAGTAGGACATGGTTGTGCGTGTGTGTGTGTGTGCTCTTTTTTTTTCTTTCTTCAACGAGTGAGAGGTTTTACCACCTCTTTATATCCGTGGAGTTGTTGTGTGTGTGTCTCTCTCTCCTGCGAGTTTGCTGCTTTGCTCAGCGGGTGGGCAGCAAGAGGGTGAAAGAGGAGGAGAGGTGCTAATGGGGATCGACTGATGAGGTGGTCTGATGAGAGAGGAAGAGAGAGGGGGGTCCCCTCTGCCGAATCAGACCTTTTGGTGTGCGCACAGCTATCGAACCATTCCCCGTCCATTTCCTTTTTGGGCAAAGCGGCCTCCGCTGGGATCGGTCGGCGAAACCAACGCATACGAAGCGCCCTTGGTGGACTTCTCGGTCTCGGCATGACAAGACTGGGGTCACATAGTATTAAGGTTATATTGTTTGCTACGAGGACGTCGAATGTTGGACACGGTGGTCGAGTGGTCTAAGACGCCAGATTTAAGTTTGATTTGCTGGTTTTGGTACTGGCAGAATTCTTAAGGTTCCTGGTCTCGCAAGAGGCGTGGGTTCGAACCCCACCCGTGTCACATCCCTCCCCCTTTTTTTTATTTTTGAATATCCATCTCCATTGGGATTCGGAGCTTCAAGTCCCTTTTGTTTAAACTCTTTGTTAATTCCTTTGCAATCCATGTTGTGTTTACCATTTTTCGGTAGTCGGTCCACCCCAATTAAAGTTGACTGGCTTGGCGACATCATCACCCACCTCAATCTCTCTTGGCACATCAAGGCAGGCTCCTCGCATGATTTCTTTGATCTAAAGTTTACCATTAGAGCTAGTTATTACAGATTAACGAGGCCTTTTCGATATATTGACCTTATTCGACGATGACGTTTCCCTCTTTGCGCGCGCCTTGGACCCGCACGTCGTGACATCACTCGACCCGCCCATGACCAGGTTCCGCGCATATAAACCGCCCGCCAAAATGCTCCGCACGACACACCATATTCTTCCTCCTCTTCTTGCTCCTCCAAGCCCCCCCTCGTTGTTGAGATAGTCGAACATGAACAAGCTCACATCAGGCGGACAGGCCAAAGGCGCCAACCCCAATCCGTTTCGTCTAGGAATATGGTTCCGTCTACATGGCGTTGATATCATCACTATGTTGTTTGCCGGAGGTATGTGTGTTGCATTTGCTCTCTCCATTTGATCGTAGCAGTCGTCTGAAACGAGCCTATAGTCGCAGGACTTGGTATCTACTTTGCACGTCAGTCCTCTAGTCCTCTATTCTCTACAATTATGTAGCGACTGAACCGATATCGTCTCCTCTCTAGCCCCTGCATATAACCGTTGGTTCCCCATCCAATTTCAAGATGGCGAAATCGTCTGGGTACGTTGCCACTTATTATACATCACACTCGGAGAAACTCATGCATCTATTCGGTTAATAGCCTGACGTGGCCGCACCGATGCAAAAAGAAATCGTACCCATCTGGCTCGCCGCCTTTCTCGCTTTTACGATTCCTTTCGTATTCTTTTGCCTCTACCAGATTCGCCTGAGGAGTGTAGACCACCTTTTCACCACCACGATGGGCCTCCTCAAGTCTCTAAGTAAGCGAGAAAACTCTCACCCCATTCCGATGTGGAGAGCTGACACTCTCGTCTCACAGTTAGTGCGGCTCTGTTCCAAGTCATCATCAAATGCCTCATCGGTGGACTTCGCCCTCATTTCTTGATTGTATGCAACCCCCAAATCCCAGCTGGTCTCGTCGGTTCCGGCTATCAACAACTCTATTTCACTCGAGAAGTGGTGGGTACAATCTCCTCGACCCCACTATGACACTAAATTGATTCTCTCCCCCTCTCTAGTGCACTGGAGACAAGAAGGATATCAACGACGCGGTCGAATCCCTCCCGAGCGGTCACGCCACCGCCGCCTTTGCCGGGTTCATCTACTTTTCTCTCTACCTCAACGCGCAACTCAAGCTGGTCTCCGCACACAACCCAGCCTACTGGAAGATGTTGCTTTTCCTCGCCCCCATCCTCGGAGCGCTCCTCATTTCGCTAGCGATGACGCTCGATTCGTATCACCACTGGTGGGACATTCTCGTCGGCGGGTTGATCGGCACCTTTTGCGCCTTTGTCGCCTTTCGAACGACATTTGCGAGCGTCTGGGATTTCCGGTTTAACCATGTGTTGCTCCCCCGCACGACGAGCTTGTTCCTCCGGAGGCCGATGGAGGAAAAGGGGTTGCAGACGTTTGGATATGTGTTGGGAGAAGGTGTTAGTTGGCCCGTGGTTACGCGTGAGGGAGGATGGGGCGATGTGCAGGAGCAAGTTGGAGGTGCACCGTTTGATGCGTCGGCGATGCATGGGAGGGCGGCGGTGGCTACTGGAACTGGATTTGGAGGGATGGGAGGAGGACGTCATGCGGGTGTTCCGCGGCATAGTGCGGATGCTTCCACCGCCGTTTAATCCAAAGGACCCACGGACACAAATCACGGAACCATTCTAACCCATTTATAATGTTTAATGTTCCCTTTTGTTTTTAATCTTGTCAAGCGTTGTGGCTCACGATACCACGGTGTATAGTATCCGGTAGTTGAAGAAACAAAAACAAACTTCTTTTTGATTACCTACGTCGGCCGGAATCCTTAGTTTCTTAGATTCTTACTCACGATGGTAGTGGAGGGGAACGAACAAAAAGGGGAGGTATATAGGGCAAAAAGACTTCGCTACCTATC